CCACGAACGAAGAGGATCACAACTTCATGGAACCCATCCTGTCAGACGTTGGTCCAGATTCAGCTTCAGGTCCTTGGCCGAATATTCCCGCAAATCGTCGAAAAATTCAAGTATACCCTGCAAAAAAGTCAACAGGCCGTTGTCACCACCCACTTTGATAGAACAATTTTACAAAAGCTTACCTTAGGCACAAAGCTATCGACTATTCCTGCAGGTAAGCCCATTAAGTGAAGCTCGGCTTGAATGATAGACGTCACCTTGGTGTCATTGCCACTGCAAGAAAGTTTTTGTCATTTTATATCGATTCGAATCACTTATTTTTACCTTGGTGACATAAGCAATAAAGATGGATGAGTATGCACACGGACTACACCTTCTCTCAGTGGTGCTGAAGGATGCATAACGCTGACCATGACCACGGAACGAGTACCTGAAAAGCGAGCCTCTAGCGCAAGTCGATCTTGGAAAACACTGACCGTCATTAGGATCCGTGGCAAATCTGCACAGATCTACTGCTTCTCTGGCCGCTACCAAACCCATGAGCCGCGCTTTAGAGTCATGCCTTATGATACAGGTGTCCTAGAAAGATTTTGTTGATACTTGTTGAGTTTCCTACACAAGCTCGATCAAGCACTAACACACCTCTCTGATGCGCGCTATCAAAGGTGTACCACCAGATTGACTGTCCCATTTGCTTCGATGTTCCCCTTCAGGGTGAACCATGATAGCAACCTTGAAGAAATGCTGATTGTCGAAGTATAGAGTATTACTTATAAGAAGAGTTCACCTCGACAGGGGTCCGATTTCGTATGTAACCTTCATAACGAAACATGTTGTTCTCTGTCACGTTGCATCTCATTTTCCATACATTGCCAGATCTCTTAATATCAACGCTTAAGTGGAGAAAGCTCAAGATGAGACAGTATCAATAATGCGCTATTTATGACACTTGCATCAATTATAGCGGCCAATTTATTTCGAATTTATATTTACAAGGGAAGATACTTGACTCGACGTGACCTTCCTCAACAAGATGTATACAGTGATGACGGTCTTGGAATGCTGATCATGAACATACATACCTTGCCTGCTTAAATATCACTGAACGAAGTTACAGGGTTCAAATGGCACTTAGTTGTTTACAGAACTAAGGTAGCAGATTAGCTCGAAACCATTCACAGCGATTTTTTATGTACATTGAATATATCTCAGAAATTCAGACATGTATTAGAGGACATTCGCGTTCACGACCATGCAGCAAGCAAAATGCCTCTAACTTTGTTTACTAAACCTTAATCAGTTATGGAAGATTGTCCTGGTTTTACCGCTTGAAGAGTTTTCGAATAGCATACATCTCACTAGTAAGTCCAAATCGAGTCAAATGTTTTCCCTCTTACAAAAGCTTTTCGCACTAATCACCCTGATGGAATTCAAGGGCATAGAACGTTTGCATTACGTACCAAATGATATTTTGAAGCTTATGTCAAATGAGCAATGTGTCTTCTTAGGATTTAGAACTCACCTTTTCCGTATGGAGATGCCATTCCGAAGAGTGTAGTAGGTGAAAAACTCTTCTTTCAGCGCTCTGCATGCATATTTCATATTCCGTCAATGTGTCAGACGAAACACTCATTCTAGAAGATTAAGAAAACTTTGAAGAATTCGCAACATCAAGCAAGTGATAGCAGTTTTATGATAAAGGATAGATAAATCCAAAAGTGTTTTGAGCAAAGCATGATTTTGAAGTCCGTCATGCTGAACAGGCGTACCCTAATATCGCAGATATAATCGCAAATCCTGTCGTGGGTGCGATTCTTGTAGATAAGCGTCAACAACAAGAGACTTCGGAGAATTTGCACTTGTCTATAACTTTGCTGCGAACTCTCACGACTATGAATGAATACGAACCTTCAGCACTGCAAATGAAGAGATGCTTTCTGCTTTGATACGGTTTGAAACGGCAGCGATTCTTTCCTCTAGTAAAT